TTTTTAGGATTGAAAGGGGGTTTTTGGGTAGGTAGGGGTGGATTTGGCACGGGAATGCCTGCCGTAACGCTGCCTGCGTGCCACTACTCATCCAGCTTCTGCACCAGCTGCTGTGGGACGTATTATACCAACTCAAACCCAACCTCTTCCCGCTTCAGCTGTCTTGTAGCCATCTCCAAAGCTAGCGTCGTTCAGCAAGAAGAGCTTTTTAATGATTCCTGCTTGATAAGCTTGCACAGAGTCGGTGCGCCTAATTCTAGTCCTAATCCACGGAAAAATGCCGCCGCTTCGTTTTGCGGGTGTGGAAAGTGCATGTTGTAGAGCTGGCGGCAGGTTTTGTCATCCACGTTGCGAGACCATTGAAGCTTTTGCCGTCCTGGGAGAGCAGAGTGCAGCAGCTTTGTGTTAGAGGAGCTTTTGTTACAAAAGATGCTTCCGGAGGGACCGGCTTGTGTTCGGCTGGAGACCTTTCACCAGCTGCGTAAGGACTCCGGGAAACGGCACGGCACGCTTGCTCGGCTTGCATGCAGGGAAAAAAAAAAGCAGAGCTAATGATTGACTATTATTTTAAGGGGATTATCTAATCCGCAGCCCAGAGGACAAGAGGGGCCAAAATGAGTGAAGATTGAATACGTAAATTAGTGCAGATTGTTGGTAATACCCTCTGGACTCTGACTGATTATAAACAGAAACAGATTTTTCTAGTTCTCCCCCCCCAAAAAAAAGCTTTTGCAGGCCAAAGGGCCACTTCGTAGCAGAAACTGTTGCAAATTAAGTGGATGATCACAGCTGGGGCAGCGGAGATGTTTAGTGCAGAAGATGGCTGAGGAGCAGCTTCTCTCGGGTTATTTTGCAGCGTAAAGGCAGAGTTTTGGGCAGAAGTGACCGAAATGGCGTACGTGGGAGGTTAGTCTCTGCTACCCCACCGGCCATCCTGCAGCTCCATCCCTGGAGCCGGGGCTCCTTCTCTCCCGGGGGCTGTGGGAGCGGGAGGTGCAGGGATGCGGCGGTGACCTGGACTAACCAGGGATGCTAACGAAGGCTGGAAACCGTAATGAAGCCTTCTCAAGAAGTACTTGCTTAGCAACATTTGCTAATTTGGATTCCTGGATTTGAAATATTATTATTATTATTATTATTATTATTATTATTATTATTATTATTATTAATTTTTATTATTATTATTAATTTTTATAAATATTTTTATTTACATTGTTATTGCCTGGACCTGGTTATCAGCTGCCTCTGGTCTGCTAGAGGCTAATACTTTTTATTTTCCTTTCCTCCTAGCAAAGGTCAGTAAAGTTTAGTGAAAGGGATTTGCAAGAGTTGCAGATCCATTATTAATACAAAATAAAAGACGTATGGCTAAATCCATCAAGCCTAAAAATACAGTTGGGCACAAATAAGCCCAGAGAAGGAAACAATGGAAGGAACAGTGAAAACAAACAGCACGCCCAAGCCCTAAACTTCTGAAGCAGTTAAACAAGGCTAGGAAAATAGCTGTCAAATAGCTGATGACAAGAGGGTTTCTGTTCCCTTCTCTTTAATTTGGTCAAAGAGGATGAATGAGAGAATCGCCATTCCATTTGGATGAAATGCCATGATTTAAAAAATTACCCTTACTCAAGTTCAGGTGAAATCCCAGAATTCAGAACTTTCCCATGTAAAAGAATATGTCTGAAATTATGATTTTGGTACGCTTTGGCTGAACGTTTCCAGCACGATTCAGCTGCTGCATTGCTAACTGCACAGGAGCTCGCATCTCATAAATTACAACGTCGCAGAACGAGGCTTTAAATGGGAACGTCAAAACCCTTTGCGCTGTTAAGGACCTTGCTGAAACACTCTTGTTTCAAATTTCTAAACTGAAGGCAAGAGTAGTTACTCAGTTCCCGTGGATTTTTTTAGTTTTGCTAGGATGTCCAATAAGAGAATATTCTGCCCCAAAAGCTCTGCTGATCAGCTGCAGATCGCTGGTCTGGAAGCACGCCGGTGCCTGATGGTGCTGCGACCCCATGGGGCATCTTTTAGGTTTCAGGAATCTTTGAGGTGTGTGGAAACACCTTCCAAAACACAGCAGGGCAGGCCATCGTTGCCCTGGTGGGACGTTGTACCAGCTGAGGCGTCTTGTGTAAAACAACCACCTGAAAAATAATCCAATGTAATTTTATTAACTCAAATCCCTTCACTTATTCTGCAGAAACGAGCTTGGGGAAATAAGATGGTGCAGCCAGGCTGCTCCCAAACTGCCCCAAAGCCTGAGCATCCCTTGAGCCAGAGGGACTTTTTCTTTCTGTGCTCAGAAGGCAGCACGGGATGGGCAGAGGTGGCCTCCCAGCGCATCCCTGTCATGGTGGCGCCTTTCCCTGCTCTGCCCGTGGGTGTGCAGCTCTGGAGGGCAGCAGCATAGCTGTACTCTTAAGAAGAAAAGCAGGAAAGTTGTGGAGAAGAGGAATCCTGGTGTCTGTGGGAATCTCCTGGAAAAGACGGTTTACCAGGCAGGTTTTGCTTGCATCTGGCCCTTTGTGTGCGTGGATATCTGCTCCTGTTCCGCCATTTCTGACCCTCTTTGATGGCCTGGGCTGACTCACTTGTCATGCTAACATTGTTTTGCTTTTGTTTTGCAGTGTTTGGGTATTTTTGATTAAGAAATACTGCCTGTTTGCCTTGGCAGTGGTGCTCGTTGGATTGATGCGGTGTTTTTTAGCTGGAGTGTTTATTCAGCCTCTTGGATTCTCTCTCAGGGGTGGGGTGGGATGATCCAAACCCGTCAGTATGCTCATGATCCACGAGGGCTTGTGAAAGGCTTGAGCCAGGGTCTCTTCTGATGGAAACCACCAGCTTCCTCCACTTCCAGAGGCCAGGCTCTGGGGATGAGATGAACAGGCTTAACTGATCCCCATCTGGGTGAGAAACCTGGACCAGAAGGAGACAGCAGCAGCATGAGAAGGGGAGTGAGGGACCCATTGCCTTGAGTCAAGCATGGGTACACCCACTCGGTCCACATGCTCGGCAGGTACAAACACCTCAGGTGGAGCTGGCTAATGGCATCTTAAAACACCTTTTGCTTTTTGTTCTCAGCCCTGAGAATTGCTGGTTTCTTGCCTTCCCACATTGTCTGTTTGGACTTTTTATTCCTCCCTGTCCCAGGGTCTTACTGCTCAGCAGGTCCTTTGCAGCCAGTGATGGGTTGCCACAAGGTTTTCCCCCATTAATGTCATGCTCCTTTGCCAGGGCTATCAAAACTTTTATACTGGACATTTTCTTGGGTTGGAGCTCCCATGTGCTTCATATCAAAGTCCCCATGTTGCAACACCAGCATGCCCGGGGTGCGTGATCCGTTCACATTCCTCGCTCTCCAGTGCTTTGATGAGGTGGACAGGGGATGGAATGGATGTGTTGAAAGTACTGTAAGGAGCATAATTTGCGCACACATAAGACTGCAGTAATGCAGAAACACAGAGTTTCTCGGGTCCTCAAACCAGGAGGTATTCGGTGAGCAAGGCCTTGTGCTCCGTCTGGGTTCGGGGAGACTATTTGTGCTCGCCTGGGTTTCCTCACATCCTTGCGGTGTCTGGGGAGCAGACACGATTTGCATTGCTAAGCACCCGCTCCAAAGCTCAGCTGATTTTCTTTGAGAGTAGCTTTCCAGTAAGCCAGATCCCCGTATCTCTTTGGTTTTCTAACTGGGGCACTTTAGAGTTGTGATTTGTTGGTTTTTCCAAGCATAAAATGTGGTGTAGGGTACTGGGAGGCTCTCTGGGACTGCCGCTGGGTGCAGGACCGACAAGATGTTTGCTAAAGTCTTCTGGCCCATCCACCCCTGCTATGATGCCTTCGACCACACTCGGACCCAGCTGTCCCCAGCTGCCAGCACGGGCTGCGCCGGGGACCCCAGTGCTGGTGGGGGCTGGATGTGCCACGCGTTGGGATGCTGGCACGCACCGCCTGCTATTAACCACCTCCCTCCTTCTGCTTTCAGAGCTGGCATATGACCTGGATATGGACGACACCACTGCAAACAAGCAGCTTCTGAATCAGCAAAGCAAAGACAGCGCCATGGTCCCCAGCAGCAACCGCGGGAGTGTGGCCCCCCGCCCCGGCCCTGCCGCTGCCATCGCCCTGGTCCTGCTGCTGGGCCACCGGCCGTGAGCGGTGCTGGCGGCATCCCTCGATGTCTCTCCATGCCTTTTTTTAATGAGGAAGACATTCGGAACCTCTTCTGAAATATATGCACATTTCCAAAGACAGGGCAAATGACTTGAGTCAGTTTTATAAAATAATATGGTATCTTCACACAAAAAAAAACCCACAAAAGCGTTTGTTCATGGTAAACTAGTAAATATGTAACAGTTCTTTTTAAAGATAATCCTGTTTAATATAAGAAGGTTGATATATAAATTGTGTTCCTCGCAGTTTTTGAAGACTGAGGTCTGATGTTAAGTTGAAGACCGTATTTCATCTTGACTTGTTTGAATGTGCATGGGGTACAGAACACCTGCAATTTATGAAATACTCTCAGCAAATATCAGACCCCTCATCCCAGTTGACTTAATACAGATTTTGTCTGTAGTTCAAGCAGGTTTTGTACTTACTCCAAATTCAGCTCTAGGAACCTGGCCAGGCATGTAATACGGAGGGTGCGTGAAGACAGGGGGGAGAGAGGGTCAGACGTACGGCAGGAGGAAAGATGCTGCGGAAGAGGAGTTGTCATGCGCCGGGATTGTCGTGGAGTTGTGCTCCCGTGGGCACAAAGCACACTTGCATCGTGGCAAGTTGCAGGTGATTTTGCTGCTCGCCTCCCAGCCAGGTTCTGCGAAACCCTTCAGTGCAGGCAGCCGGGCCCCTGCAGCATCCCCGTGGCCCATGCAATGCTCTGGTTTTATTCTTCAGAAGTGAAGCACCTCCTTTCCCACGGGAAATCTGCAAACACAGCTCCAGCCAAAGGACAGACGGCGTGGATGTACACGCCATGGTTTACGGGGATGAATAACAGGCGTCCAAGGCATTGTGCTACGAGGGAGGAAAAGAAAAGGATTTACAGGAGCCCGAGGCAGATGAGACTCTTACTCACGTGTTTCTTTGCATGTTACTTTACTTAAGCTATCTCTAAAATAAAGGTCGGTTGCTCTATAAACAGTGTGATGAAAGTAGCCTCCCATGTGTGCGAGGCGATGCTCTGCCTTGTTCCTGGAGTGGGCAGCCTGGAAAGGCCATCAGTGCCTGGCTCGGGGGCACCACGGAAAGGCTTGGCTTAGTCTGATTAAATGGCTGGGCTGGGGCCAGGGAGGGTTTGGTTTGGTTGGTTCCTGGCCAGAATGGTTACATATTTCTGTTTAAGAAGCTGTCTTTACTAGAGTGATTATATCCTCAGTATCTTAAGCTGCAGCGTGTGCATGTACGTATGCACGCACACACTCACACGCATGTGCATGCTTTAAATATTTGTGTGCCTCAGACCTTTTTAAAAGCAACTTCATGTTTGGGAGAAAGTAGATAAATCCGAACCACGGAATCCAATGGTTTGGAGAGTGGAAACTTCACCTATTCTTGCTTTGAAGTGGTGGGGCTGATCCGGCTGACCTTGTTTTGAAGCTTTGCAACTGCATGAAGTGCTTCACAAGCCGTGGCAGAGGGAGAGCTGGCTGCTCACCCCGCTCCTCTGCCTGGGGACGTTAACTCCCAATTCACCGCTCCTGATGTGGAGGAGCGGATCTGGGCTAAGCTCCGGTGTGACCTGCTGGCTCACGGTCGGCGAGCTTTCCTCTGGATTTCAGACTGCTCACATCCCATCTGCATCGGGGTGAGCACCAGGGATGTTTGGGCAGTGCTGGTGCCATACGGTATTCCTGTAAGTGCTGATTTTTTTTACATCCATGCCGGTGTGATGTGTATTTGTATACACTTGTTTGTATTTTACATGATCACAAACCAAATTGCAATCCTCTCTGTCTGTCGGGATTGCTGCTTGCTGGGGAGCCCTCGGGTCCACGGGGTCCTGGTGCATGGGGTTGATGCAGGGCAGAGCCATCGGTGTTGCTGTCAGAGGTGTTTCTTCACCCTCCTGCTGCTTTGCTCTCACGTTGGCCCAGCTCTCCTCATCATTCCT